AGAAAGGGCTGAAAGCCCTATGAAGCAGTATATAAGTCTAACTGCTATTGCTATTGCTATTCTGCCTTTTCTGCTTCCCTGAGACAACCCCACACATTCACTGATCACAAGGATCGAGCCCTGGATGGTCCACCCACCCCACAGATTATTGATGAATTAACTCGCTTACATTCTCCTTCTTTTACTTCATCACTTGCATGCTCTCTCACTTATTTCTCTTTTACTTGTTCTTCTGTCACGCTCCATCTCACTCTTGCTCACTCTGTGCCATAGGTGGGTTCCTACTGGTTCGAACCGGTTTGGACGAGTAGGTAGTAACTTGGCTGGCCAGCCCCCCCACCCCCCCAACCCATTCATATTGTTTTTTGCTTCTGCACATACGCAGAAACATTTTTTTTTACTGTCGCGCAGGCATGCATAGTGCACATCAAATGCGCATCAAATGTGCACCAAGAGCGCATCAAGAGCACATAACATGCATCAAGCACGTGCATCAAGCATGTGTGAAGCATGTCCCTGAATGAACCGGCAGTAACCGAAGCCAGAATCCCCCCCCCCGCTCTGTGCTAAGCAGTTTCCCCCATGCTCCATCACCTACTTTATCACCCGTTGACTCTGCATTTATCTCTTTCCTCACTTCCCCACTCTTTCCTGCTCTCTAACTCATTCGCCACCTAAAAACAGAGGCTGGGGAGGCCTCTTGACAGGCACTGGCAGTGTCAGACTTCATCTCACAGACAGGACCAAACCACTCAGCCAAGCTCCCAAGGCATCCAAGAACTCCTTCAATATTTATTGAAGGAACTTAAGAAGCAATAACAGAGAAGCTCAGCAGCTGCTATGTTTCAAGAATACCATCTATATTTAGAAATAACATTCACAACCTTTTGCTTATTTTTCTATTTTTTACCCTGGATAAGAGGCTACTTGGCCATGCTTCGGAGCACGTTGGCTCACTTGCTTACGTCCTTTGGATTTTCCAGACTGGCATTTTATCAAATACAAGGGTTTTTTTTTTTAAATTCCTTTGCTGAAGTGAAAATACATATGGGGGATGCTACTGCTAATCAGAAGGTGTGTGGGGGGGGGGAAGCATGCAAATAGGATCTAAGCAGTGGTGGGTTTCAAAAAAATTTCGAACCTACTCTGTGGGTGTGGCCTCCTTTCTGGGAGTGGCTTGCCGGCCATGTGACCTGGTGGGAGTGGCTTGCCGGCCATGTGCTCTCTCTCTCTCTCTCTCTCTCTTTCCTTCCTTTTTTCTCCCTGTCCCTTTTTCCTTTTTTTCTTCCATCTCTCTCTCACTTTTTCTTTCTTTCTTTTTTATTTATTTCTTCCTTTCTTTCTCTTTCTCTCTTTCTGTGAGTCTGTCTGTCTGACTCTGTGTGTGTGTGTGTGTGTGTGTGTGTGTGTGTGTGTGTGTGTGTGTGTGTGTGTGTGTGTGTGTGTGGTGGTGGTGGGTTTCAAAAAACATT